GATAGAAGCCAGTATTCCACCGGAGGGGACATCCTCAGGAATGGCCTTTGAGGCATTCAGGGAAGGAGTGACTCTGGAACTTGGGACATCTGGTGCTGTAGTTCCAATGTAGCCCCCAAAAGTTTATGTGCTGGAAACTTAATCCCCCTTCATATGTTAAAGGTGTTTGGGGTTGAGGACTTCAAGAGCTAATTCGGATTCCATGGGGTCCTAAGGCTGCCAGTGGCCCTGTCAGAAGAGGAAGACAGGCTCGAGCCAGCACGCTCGCTGTCTCCCCTGAGGTCCTCTGCCATGTCAGGACGCAACCAAAAGGCGCTCAACACATGCCAGGGCCAGGCGCTCGGACTTCTCGGCCTCCAGAACCATCAGCTACATAAACTTCTATTCTGTGAAAGTTCCCTGGTCTGAGGAATTTTATTTGTGCAACAGAAACACACTAAGACATCTGGGTTGACAATGTGCTTCCCCTGGCTGGGTCACCGCTGTTAGCAGGTTTTGCCCAGGGAGTCAGCACTTAGAAAGGGAAGTTCCTGTCGGGGAGCGGGGAGCTGGGAGCTGGGAGCTGGGAGCTGTGTGTTTCTGGAATCCAGTGTCCTGACCTTGTGATAACTAGAACGAGCTTAATTACACAAGCTTGATTTATTTTTTCTTCCAGTACAAGGGGCTGAACTCAGAGCCTCCCACCCCCCATTTTTAAAAGGGTGTTACTAAGTTGCTCAGGCTGGCCTTGAACTCACAATCCTCCTGCCTCAGCCTCCCGCATAGCTGTGACTACAGGACTTTGTCAACACCCCCAGCTGGTGCAAGCTTTTACCTTCCTCAACACACTCATATTCACTTACTCATTTGATTTTTGCTGTGAAGTGGACAAGAATAAAGGCCATTTAGCAATTGGTAAATTGGAGATGGAGAAGTATAATATTTTAGTTGGGGAGGTAAGCTGCTGAGAACACCTCTGGTCTCCCCAACACCTACCTCCACCATTTCCTGACTCAAATTTTGCTTCTGGTGCCTGGGGCAAGACACTAACTGCTGTTCCTCAGAGCCCCAGCCTCTTTCTTTTTCTTCTTTTCCTTCCTTCCTTCCTTCTTTCCTTCCTTCCTTCCTTCCTTCCTTCCTTCCTTCCTTCCTTCCTTCCTTCCTTCTTTCTTTCCTGCCTTCCTGCCTTCCTGTCTTTCTTCCTTCCTTCCCTCCCTCTCTTTTTCTACTTTTCTCAGACAGGGTCTTGCTGAGTAGTTCAGGCTGGCCTTGAACTTGTGGTGATCCTCCTGCCTCAGCCTCCTGAATGCCAGGATTACAGGCATGCACCACCATTTCCCTTCCCCTCCTTCCTGATGCCTTTCCAGGCTCTGGTTCTCTGCTTCCTCAGCTCCCCCTGCTTTCTCCTCCGCTCATTCATTCAACAGACACTGGCTGAGCACCAAGGTATCCTGGGGCAAGTGTGAGGCCAAGGAAGTGAGTGAAGCGCAGGGCACACTTCAGGATCAGTTGGGGGCGGCATACAGAGATGGAGCCCGTCACCAAGCGCAGCCGGGTTCTCAGCCGGCTCTTTGGAGGTGCCGTTTGAATTTTGCTAAGGGAGCAGAAGGTAGTCAGGTGCACGGGCAGAAGCCAGCAGAAGCAGGAGCACGGCGAGATCAGGGCCTGTCAGCAGCTTGTGGACAAGGTACCCTGAGACCAGGCTGGGGCACCGCAGCTGTGTTCTGGACCACGGGAGCCACTTCAGGGCAGACTGGGTCCCACCTGTGCTCCTACATGGAGCATGTTGGGGTCACAAAATACTGGAGGGAATTCGTAGGCTGCGGGAAAGAACCGAAACCTGAGCGGGGCAGGGAGGCCGGAGAGGAGATGGAGCCCCAGCTACACGGAGACAGAATTGATGGGACGGATGCAGCCTGCGTGTGTGTGGCGGGGGAGGCATCGGGACAACGCGCGAGATCCCAGCTGGGGTGACAGGGTGCAGGGCGGACAGGCTCAGGGGGCGGGGAGGACAGGGAATGCCGGTTTGACTGTACAGACAGGGAAACTGAGCCTCAGACAAGCAGAGCGTACGACACATGGCAGGATTCAATGCCACGCTGCACTGGGTGCTTCGGAGGGCTCCTCAGTCCCCGGGGTCCCAACACAGCCCGCTCTGCTCCTGTCGGGAGGCTGCTGGGCTCCCACCCTACACTTCTGGGCCAGCTCTGAAGCTGAGCTGCTGTCAGATGCTCCCTCCCTGGTACCTGATGTATTCACCCCGAAAGCCCTGGCGTTTGCGTCTGTAAGTGACGTAAGTGACCAGGCTAAGAAGCAAGAAGCAAAGGCCCTGCTTCCCAAGGCATCAGTTCTCTGCAGACTGGCAAGGGCTCGCTCACTGGCTGGCGTCGTCTCCCTCGCAGGCGCCCCCACCTCTGCTCTTAATAACGCCCCCACTTTTCCACTTTCACCCCGACCCAGCACTTCTCAAACTCTAATACGCATACAAATCACACACAGCTCTTCGTAAAACACAGGTTCAGCCAAGTGCTGGGAGGACAGGCGTGCGACACTCTTCCCAGCCTCCAACTTCAAGTTGTACAAACGTGGCTCTGAGGTCACAGCTCCGTCAGCCTCCCTCCCCCGAGCGGGCCCAGCCTGCTTTCTCCCCTTGGAGCCTTTGTCCTAACTCTGCCCTCTGCCTCCCACTCTCGGCCAGCCTCTGTTCGCCGTTCAGATCTCCGCTTCTGGGTCACCTCCCAGAGTGGCCTTCCCTGACCCCATCTCTTACCCCAGTTTAACTCTGCAGTTCTTATCGGTAGCAAACCTCAGTTTGTTCACTGTCCGTTTCCCCTGCTCGGCAGTGAGACCGTGCCCTTGCTCTCGCCTAACTCACCTTGCTCTCCAGCTGGTTCTTTACATGGAACGGGGCCAGATAGGTGCTCAGAAAATATTTACTGCATGAGAAAATGTCATTCCCCTCTCCGTGCCTTTTCTCCACGTATAAAATGGAAATAGTAACGCAGGAACATTTACCTCACAGGGTAAGATTGAGATAGGGGTTGGGGGTGCAGCTCAGTGGTAGGGTGCCTGCCTACCATGTGCAGGGTCACAGGTTTGACCCCTAGCTTCCCCCCCCAAAAAAAATTAAATGAGATATACACGTAACGTTCAGCCATGGTGCTTGGCCCCGTCACCGGTGGTCAGTGTTACTGTTATCAATACCACAGTGGAAGCCCTGGCAGGACGGCGTGCGGCCAGGCCAGAGGGCGGGTTTCCCGCACTTTCCTCTGATGAACCCAGTGCCAAGGAGCTGGGCTAATTGGCCCTGGCCCATATCTGTTGCTGCTAAAGGCCTTGATACCCAGTAGCAGAGAGAGGGCAAAGTCAAGGATGAAAAGGGGAAGAGTGTGTGCTTCAACTCAATTGTAAGTTTATTAGAAAGGCCATGGACAGATGAACCCTGAGTTACCAGCTGAGGAAGAAATGGAAAAAGCCCCTGACCTCGCAACCGGCCCCCTGGTCTCCCGTGATTTACGTCCCCTGGCAGGCCCCAAAGAAGCCAGCCAGAAAGTGCTCGGCACATCCTTTCCCCGGGGCTGCCGACCTGACTGCAGGGCCCCCAGGTGGGCCATGCGGATGCTGGTGGCTGGAGCCAGGAACCAGGAGCCAGCAGGGCGGGCTCCTCTGCTCTAGCGAAAGTGGTTCTGGTCCCCCCGGCAGAACCGACAGAAGAGTCTCTGGGTGGGGGATCGGTGAGCTCTGCCAAATAGCCAGTGGCTCGAGAGGCAATGCCGGGCTGTCTTGCAGGTGTGTGCAGATGGCTCCAGATGGCCAATTGTGGGGTCCCTAGGACAGGACCCCAAAGCTGCTCCAAGGAGTCTTAGTCACAGAGAGCTGCAGTGTGACTCAGCGCCCCTCCCAGGGCTGCTCTGGTTATTTCAACTCCCAGAAAGGCAAACGGATCTTGTAAGAATCCACGGTGGTTGATGTCATTTCTTTCTCCCTTAAAAACGACTGGTGAATCAGTTTCAACCAGCAGAGCCTGAGCCCAGAAGAGTCCATCCTGGGAAGGAGAAGGCACTTCTCACACCCTCACGGGGGTAACCTGGGCTGGCTGCTTCCCGGTCCCCTCGGGGGTCCAGTTTGCTCTGGCCCTGTAACTCAGGCCGGCTCCCTCTGGGAAGGATTCAGCCTCCATCCAGCACCGCCCTGCGGTCCAGATGTCCCAGCCCCTCACAGGGTAGTGGACGGCAGCTTCCTCACCCGCCGCTGAGCCAGGATGGAGGTCTCGATCGGCTTCAGCTGGGGTGTGGGCTTGGAGCTGTTGAGTGCGGAGTAGGTGGCTGCCATGGCTCCCTGGAGGGGGGTCAGATCACAAGGGTGGGAAGTGAATAGGGAGGGCACCCGCACCGGAGGGTCAGAGCAGCGCCCCCTAGTGTTCCACAGCCCACACAGCCCTCCTATTCCTGCCCTGCTGGTCTTGCCTCCCCAACTAGCCTGCAAGACTGGAGTTTCAGAGGTCAGAAGGTATGTCTCCCGGAGGGCCAACGCCAGTGAGAGCATTGGGACACTGCTGCAGGACGGTTTGGGGCTCCCTGGAAACTCAGTTATGTCTTCTGTCGTCTGTCCCAGCTCCCGGTCAGTGGCACAGACATGGACTCTCCTGGCTCTGCCGCCCCAAGTCCCCACCCACGCCGCTTGGCCCTGACCCCACCCCTCCCCTGATGGGCAGCAGCTCGGGCGGCCGCACCTTCACCAGCTGCAGGTCCTGGTGGGACAGCTGGCTCTGGGGAAGCTTATCCTTCTGGGTGACCCACGGGTGCTGGAGGACCTGCTTGGCCGTGAGTCGCTGGTGGGGGTCCACGTGCAGCATCTTGGATACCAAGTCCTGCGGGCGCAGTGGGCAGAGGGGTGATGAGAGGGGCAGCAAAGTAGCAGACAGCTCTGTCCCACTGATGGGGAACTGGGAGGCAACCAGGGTCGGCCACCTCCCGCCTGAACGCTGTGATCCATTCTCTTCGCAGCCGAGCCCTCCGCAGAGCGAGGCACTCTCCTCCAGCACAGCGAGGCCTTCCGCTCTGTGGGCCTTGGCTGCTCGGGGCACTTCTGACCACCTCCTTCCCTTCTGCCTTGTCCCTTGGAAAGCCATGTGGGAAGTAGGAAGAGCTTCCAGGCTGGGGTCACGCAGTCTCAGCTTCTGACCTGACTTTTTCACTCATCACCTGAGTGCCCAGAGCAAGTCGCTTCAACTCTCTGGGTCTCAGTCTCCACTCTGAGAAATGGGGTAACATCTGTTGTTCATAAAGGGCTCAACCTGTGCCGGGCACAGAACTCTAGAAACTCTTGCCAACGCTGAAAGCGCGACAGTGACCTCCTTGGAGAAGGCCCTCTGCATGGCATGGGCGGTTGCTCTGCGCCTCCACGGCCCATACTCCTGGCTGGGAGGACCTGCCGCTGTGTGCAGCTTGTGTCTCCCACCACGCTCTTTCCACAGGGAAGGGCCGGGATTACGCAGTCTCTGCCTGCAGAGGGCCGAGAACTGGGAAGGGCCAGTTACCCAAACAAACCGCAGGTGGTCTGCCCGGGACTCTCTTGCTGGGAGAATTACAGGAGTAGGGATTTGGGGACCATTCTACAGGCTGCACAACGCCCGTTCCTGACCTGCCGCAAAGCCCTGGCTGGGCTACTTCCTCCCTGCACCCGGCCTCACAGGCTCACCTTGGCTGTCTCTGAAACTGTGTTCCAATTTCCTCCGCTGAGGGTAAACTTTCCACTGCCGATCCGGGTCAGGATCTCCTCCGGCGTGTCACTGGGCCCGTTGGCAAAGGGAGTGTATCTGGAGGTAAGCCCACACAGCCTGGGTAGGTACAGCTTCCAGCCTCCATCCTGGGGCTAGGGGTGGGGCCTGTGTCTCCCCCTCCGACCTCGCGTTCCACAGTGGAGCCACTGAAGCCAGGGCCAAGTCCCGAGGCAGGGCTGAGCCTCTCCCATCAGACAAGCACCACCCTGGCCGGAGCTCCAGGGCTGCAGGAGGGAGGAAGGCCGGGCCAGGGCACTCACCCAGCCAGCATGGTGTACAGCAGAATGCCCAGGCTCCAGATGTCACAGCCTTCATCGTAGCCTTGGCGCTTTAGCACCTGGAAGGCACGGAAGGGTGGTCAGTCGAAAGGCCAGTAGCCACATTTTCCCTAAGAGGGGAGGACAAGGGTCCCAGCCATGGGCTAGACTTGCCCTTGACACCTAGGTCAAGGTCCTGGACACCGCAGTCCTGGACAGTGCAGGGTCCCCGGGAGCAGACACAAGGCCTCCTATCGCCCCCACTCACCTCGGGTGCTACGAAGTTGGCTGTGTAGCAAGGCGTCATGAGGAGCCCGTTCTCAGCCCGCAGCTGCTTGGCGAAGCCGAAGTCACAGATGCGCAGGCACTCGGGGTTCCCAGACTCATCCACGAAGAGGATGTTGCTGGGCTTGAGGTCCCTGTGCACGACCTAAGGGCGGGGGGCTGGGGTCAGGCGCAGCGCGGGAGGCTGCCGCCAGCCCAGGCTGACCGCCAGGGACAAAAGCAGGAGAAAAACAGGCCCAGAGAGAGGGGAGGACTGCGAGTTCGAGGAGGGGAAGGGGCTGATGCAGGCCTACCGCTGGTGCTCCTGCCTTTTTTGAAAGTTGAGCAGATGTCTAAGCAGCTCTAACTTAACCTACTCAGCACTGAAGTCCCCTCAAATCTACGCACTGCAGAATCTCACCCAGGGACACCGCCAGCTTTCCTGTTTTTTGTTTTTTGTTTCTTTTTTTTCAGCTCTCCTGTTGAGCGGGTCCTCTCCCCGGCCTTACATTCTGCAACCAGTCCATCAGCAAAGTCTCTTGCTTCTACCATCAGAATATATCCAATGCCCAACCATTTCTCAGTCCCTCCACTGGCAGCACGCTGATCTCCAACCTGGATGGGGTACTGATCTCCCTGCTGCCACTCTTCCCTCTTCCAGCCTGTTTAGACATAAGACACCACAGTGCTCTTGTTAAACCTCAATCAGATGGCATCTCCTGGCTTGAAGCCCTGCAAAGGCCTCCCTTCTGAAGAGGAAAAGTCCTTACAATGGCCCCAGGCCCCACCTGCTCTCTCTCCTGCCCTCATTCACGTCTCTTGCACTCTCTAGCCTTCAGTGCTGTGCCTTGCTCTACTGGCTTCAGCCACATTGCTGTTTTTGCTCCTCTTTCAATATGCCAAGCACATACCTGCCTCAGGACCTTTGCACCTGCAGTTTCCTCCTTTTCAAACACTCCTCCCTCATATATCTGCTGCCTGGCTCAATCTCTTCTTTCACGTCTCAGCTCAAAAATCACCTTATCAGTGGGGCCTTCCCTGACTATCCCACAGAAAGCAGCAGTCACCCCCAGTACTCTACCTTTCTTATTTACCACCCCTGGATGGAATATTTAATTTGTTTTCTGAACCTGCCCTCCGGCAGTGTAAGTGCCACGCTCACTGCTGTATCCCAGCACTTGGCATAGTCCTAGTACACAGCAGGCATTCAATGAACATCTGCTGAATGAATGAATGAATGAATGTATGAATGGATGGATGGAAGGATGAATGGATGAGTGAATGGATGAGTGAGTGAATGAGCAACACTTACTACTGAGGCCATAAGCAAACTGCTCTCCTTTCCCTCCTGCTTGCTCGTCGGTAACGGAAGGCACTTTTCCCACCTCCCTCTCCTCGCCGTCAAGCCTCTATCATTTCATTACAACTCTCAGGTCTCTAACCCCAGCCTGGAACTTCTCTGAGTCCAGGGTCACATATCCGGCTGCCTATCATGTGGCCACCACTGAATCTTCCACCCTGCCCACACATTCCATGTCACTCGATTTCTCACCCTCCTGCTCCTCTTCCCATGAGGGAATCCATTACTTCCCTGGCATGGTCAAACACCTTCCATGGCTCCCTGGTACCTACAAGACACAGCCCCAAGTGCCTAGCTTGGCCTGGGAGGTTCAGCCATCCGCTACAGCCTCACCACACACTGAATCTGCTCACTGAACTGAGCCTAGGCCATCCCAGGTTCCTCCAGCAGGAACCACCGCCATGTCTGTCTGGGGGCACCTGTGCACCTCCAGCGTCCAGCACGGAGCAAGTGCTAAGCGATCTCTGTGCGCGGAATGAATTATCCACACCTCCGCAACACAAACACACCGAGCAGGTGACATCCGCTGGGTCTGGCATCTTTATCAAGATGGTCCTTTTGTAGTCCCAACTGAGGCCGGAGCCGTCCAGCAGGCGCCTGCGGAGCGGGCAGACTAGAGGGTAGACGTGGGCTGGCACAGTCCAGCTCCCCAGAGGGAGGCGTGGCAGCAGAGGAAAGGACCACCACAGCGGGCTGGCTCCAGTGACACACTGAACTGCATCCAAGCACCGGGCAAGTCCCTTGGGCTCACTCCTTCTAACACAATCCGATGTCCCCAGGCACGAGTGCAGGGCCCGCAGAGCAGGCTGTCCTCCTCTGAGGGGCCAGGACACCACTACAGGGGACACTCTCCTGAGAGTATTTCCCGGTCACGGCCGCACAGGGGCTGCCCACCACACCTTGGGAAGTGGGCAGGCTGGGACTGCTGGCTGCACGGTACAGAGGAGGAAACCGAGCTCCGCAGGGTCAGGTGACTTAGTCACTTAAGTAAGAGGCACAGACAGGCAAGCTCTGAACCAGCTCTGACCATAGTTCCACACTCCTTCCACTTCAGTGTGGCGGAGATGGGAAATAGGGCTATGGCCGTTTGTGATCTGATCCTGCCCCGACACAACACAGAGAAAGGACAAACTCCGACACAGCCGTGTCTTCCCGTGCCCGGTGACAGAGGAGAGATGGGGGAGGGAGAGGCACCACGTGGAGAAGCCGCAGGGGGTTCTGCTGCCCGTTCCTCAGGTGTGTAGGCGGGAGGCAGGTGCACCCTCACCCCTCACTGCACAGAAACTCACGGCAGGCCGGGCGAGTGTGAGCAAAGCCAGGGTGAGTGGGAACCGCACCAACCAGTCTAAAGGGGACCACCGTTCCTTGGTGCCTGCTGATGGTCACCGTGAAGCAACTTGGGCCCAAGTTTTTCAAAAGCAACCCAATTACCAAACCACGTCAAACCAAACCCACAACAAAAAAAGCACCCACATTTTACATGCCAAACAAAGTATGTGTGCACATCACACACAGCTGTGGAGTCCAAGGGCGGTGACCTCTGGTAGAGTTGCCATGCTGGGAGGACCAGTGTGTGGATCCCGGCTTTCCCCTGCACAGCTGTGTGGTCAACTTCTCTAGCTCTCTATTTTCACAGCTCTAACATGGGGCTGGCGACAGTACTCAACCCCTAGGGTTCTAGGGAGGAGCAGAAAGAGTCAGCACAGGGCCTGGGGAATGGCACTGTCCTTACGGTAACCCCCAGAACTGCCCGGGTCTGACGCTCACGAATCGCTGGACGTTAAGATACTGAGACTGTTTGTGAAGAGGGACTTAAAAAAAACGAGCAGAGGGGCTGGGGATTTAGCTCAGCGGCACAGCGCCTGACCGGCAAGCGCAAGGTCATGAGTTCGATCCCCGGTACCGGACAAAAAAAGTGGACAGCACTGGGAATGCAGTCACCCGTAGAGCATTGCCTAACAACCACAGGGCCCTGAGTTCGATCCCTGGCGCCTGTCTATAGCAGCACTGGCCTGGGTACACGTCAGGAACTGTAGATTTGGGAAGCAGACTGGCTGATTTAAGCTCCCGGACCATCACCCTCTTACTTGTAAAATGGAGATCGTGATAACCCCTTCTTTGTAGGTTCCTTCGAACAATTAAGTGAGTTAATATGCAAAGTACTCCAAACCCTCCCCAGCCCATGGAAGGGGACAGAGTGGGTTGCCCCGAGTGGTGGCACGCACCTGTAATCCCAGCCCTCCGGAGGCTGACACAGGAGGATTGTTGTGAGTTCGAGACCAGCCTGGGCTACAAAGTGAGCTCAAGGCCAGCCTGAACTGCAGAGCGAGACCCTGTCTCAAAAAGACAAAAAACTAGAAAGCAGCCAGAGCACGGGGCTGGCTCTCTGTTGAGTCTGTACTGCAAAGGGTGTTGCTAAGCAGGATTTTGCTCGGGCGACGGAAACTTTACAGAAACAGATGGGTAGGAAGCTAGGGACTGAAAAAGGCTTCACATTTAAGTAAAGAACTGCTTCAAAATAACAGGAGAGGGACAGACACCCGAAGTTTTCAATATGGGCAAAAGGCTTGAACAGGCATTTCATAAAAGAGGTCACTCAGAGCTGGGGACGTGGCTCAGGGATGGAGTGTGTCTGCCTAGCACAAGGCCCTGGATTTTGTCTTCAGCAGCAAGAAAGAAAAAGAGGTACTCAACTGCACTAGCCACCAGGGAAGGGTCAACTAAAGCCACAGCGAGGTGCCACCTGCACATACCAGAATGGCTGTGATTTTTTTTTTTTTTTTTTGAGACAGGGTCTTGCTATGTAGTTCAGGTTGGCCTTAAACTCACTATGTAGCTCTGGCTGGCCTGAAACTTGAGGTGATCCTCCTGCCTCAGCCTCCCAAGTGCTGGGAAGGCTATGATTTTAAAAAGATGAAAAATAGCAAGTGTTGGCAAGCATCAGAACTCTCATCCACTTCTGAAAGGAGTATAAACTGGTTAAACCACTTGAGAAACCAGCAATATCTACTGAAGATGAACTTAAGCATATGCTATACCCAGCAATTCCATTGCTAGGTGTATGACTAACATTAAAATGTACATATGTTCATCAAGGGGCTAGGAATATAGCTCAGTGGTACAGTGCTTGCCTAGTATGCACAAGGACCAGGGTTCAATCCTCAGTACAGGAAATAAAAAAGTACATATGTTTACCAAATGATAAATACTAGATGGTAGCCAGAGGTGGTGGGGCATGCCTATAATTCCAGCACTGAGGAGGCTGAGGCAGGAGAATCACTGCAAGTTTGAGGCTAGCCAGGCTACACAGTAAGTTCAAGGTCAGCTTGAGCTACACAGTGAAACCCCATCTCAAAAAACAAAACAAAAATACTAGATGGTCATAGCAGCACTGTTTATAACAGTCCTAACTAGTAACAACCCCATGTCTGCTAACAGTACGATGGACAATTAAATCATGGTTTGTTCATATGACAGAATTCTACCCAACAACAAGAACTAACAAATGCAGCTCCACAGCAATGCAAATGAATGTCAAAGACAACACTGGCAAAAGCCAGACATAGACACAAAAGAGGATGCTATTAGAACTCAGGGTAGGCCAGGGATATAGCTCAGTGGCATAAGTGCCTGCCTGGCAAGTGCAAGGTCCTGAGTTCGACTCCTGGTACCAAAAAAAAAAAAAGAAAAGAAAAAGGAATCAGCCTAGATCATTATCATGCTGAAGAGCTTTAGGGGAATTAGAAATACTTTATTTATTGATCTTGAAGGTAGATACATAGGTGTATTCACCTCTTGAAAATTTA